CTAATATTATTGAACCAAAAGTCCAAGTGCACCCAAATAAAGTTTTTTTTTTTTTAACATTTTGACATGAAGCGAATTCAAAACCCATCTAAAAAAGAAAGAATGCACTCTTTAACAACTAGTGTAATTGATCCTCTAAAATAAAATGCGCCGAACCGAAGCTTTTAATAAAAATTTGGACAAAAGTACATAAAAAGAAAAAGTAAATATAAAAGAAATAGTAAAAAGAACTAACGATTTTACCGCATTTAATGCATAGCTAGAGTGGTTGCGTGTAACACCTTTAACCTTAGACTTTAAAAGTCTTACCCATAGGATATCCCAATCCCAAACTTAAATTCGTGACATGTTCCAACACTAGCAATGTCATAGACGTCATATTCAACATTCACAAAAACCTTCCAATATACATGTACATTAAATTCGAGAATTAATAATTATATACCAAACTCAAGAATTTTCTATTGACATGTCCAAATTAATAAAAAATACTTATTAACTTTTTTTAATTTTAAATTATACATGTATCATAGTTATTTTTTATGTTTAATACACTCTATTAATATATTATGTAATTTAAATTTAAAAATACTTATTTTACTTAAAAATAAATTATTATTAAACTATTTAAATCATTAACATATTACATATTAACTAAATATTATTAACTCCAGCGGATGCATGGGGAATGTTGGCTGTCATCTAAGTGTGGATTTTAATTAATACAATTTTTATTCCTACCTTCACCACGGACATTTCACTAACTAAAAAGGGAATATGACATGGGTTAAAATCTTGGGCATGGAACTAGCAATTCTTCTGAATTTTGGGGATTAAAATAGGCATTGAGATTGCTCTAGAACTAGGTTTCAGGAGAATTGAAATTGAATCTAACTGTCTTCTTGCTGTTAATACTTTGTCTGATTGATGTACAGTCAGCAGAGAGTTCATAGTTCCTTAGTTTCTTTGTGCAGATCATTTATCCCATCTACAGTTTGGCTGATGTTGTTTTACATCTTGTCTACTGTGAACTAAATAGAGTAATTTATACATTTGTCAAGTAAGGTGAATCAATGAAGAAATTTTTTTTTTCTTTTTTTGGTTGTATTCTTATTTTTTGTGTTTTTTAATTCTCCCACAATCAAAATAGTTGTTTTGTGTATAACATTAACTATTGTAAAACTTAATCAATCTATCTATGAAATTTTCATTTGCATCAAATCAGACACTACCAAAAAATTCATATTTAGTGACTAAATTATTGATCATTAAATTTTTATTTTTCGTTACAAATTATTATTAGTGATAAAATTTAAATCGTTAATAAAACTCTTGTCACTAATACTCTTAATGACAAATTAAGTACCTGTCATAGAAAATAACTTTATAGTGATAAAAAAAATTAACATTATTAACAAGTTATTCATAACAATTTTATTCGTCACAAAAAAAATATTCGTCACAAATGCA